GAAGGCTCTCAGCTGCACATATAGAAGAGGCAAGGGTGGGAACGTGAGAATGTCTTAATTCCTTTCAGTGCAGAAACTGTCTTTATTACTTGAATTGCTCTGAACAAAACTGACCCAGAGCAGTTTTGGTGATAGTGATAATCTCAAGCAATGCCATTAGCAAATCTTAATGCCATGGTCCTGGCCCCCTTGGAGGAGGTAAGTGGCATGTATAAGGGTCCAGGGGCTGGTTGAAGGAGTGACTATGGAACGCTTACGTGGATCCTGTCTCTGTTTAGCCAGTAATGGATATCTAAAAATAGGCTTCCTTTTGCTATGCCGCCAGACATGCGACTGGCCAAGGGTGGCAGGAACAGCTACTTCCTCACACATGTCCAGTCTGAGATCACTGTGATTAGCAGGTTCCTATCATTACCAGTAAGAAAGGGTATCCTCAGGTCTGATCCCATCCCATCCTGCCTCTTACTGAGCTGTTCCCAGCTCTCCAGGAAGCACAGGCAAGCAGGCATCCTGCACAGCTGCAGCTGCGCGGCCATGCCTTTGATGCGCTGATGCTCACACCCAGCCTTGCTGATTGTTCCTCTATGGTCTCCTCACATAAGATGCCATTGTAACCTCAGCTTGTCTCATAGCCACGTGCCCTTGGGTTCTCCAGTAAACAGTGCCCTGCTCTTGCTAGAGACACCATTTGGGCACACAGTGGGAATAGAGTAGAAAGAGCAAGTAGATTTGGGATCAGACAGACTCATGTCCAAAGCTCTATGACCTTGACCAAGTTAATTGGTCCCTCTGAGCCTTCTTTTTCTTATCCTTTTTTTTTTTTTTGAGACAGTCTTGCTGTGTCGCCGAGGCTGGAGTGTAGCTTCCCAAGTAGCTGGGATTATAGACATGCACCACCATGCCTGGCTAATTTTTGTATTTTTTGTAGAGGCGTGGTTTCACTGAGTTGGCCAGGCTGGTCTCAAACTCCTGACCTCAAGTGGTCCACCCTACTCAGCCTCCCAAAGTGCTGGGATTACAGGTGTGAGCCACCACACCCAGCTGGATTTAACAAAAAACCTAAGCCTACAAGCTGGGCTTGGTGGTGCCCACCTATAATTGCAGGCTACTGAGGAGACTGCCATGAGCTATGCTAGTGCCAGTGACTGGGCAACAGAGTGAGACCCCCATATCTTTAAAAACAGCCTATGGAGGGGGCCAGGCATAATGGTTCACGCCTGTAATCTTAGCACTTTGGGAGGCTGAGGCGGGCGGATCACTTGAAGCCAGGAATTGGAGACCAGAGTGGCCAATGTGGCAAAACCGTATTTCTACCAAAAATACAAAAATTAGCTGGGCATAGTGGTTCATGCCTGTAATTCCAGCTACTTGGGAGACTGAGGCACAAGAATCTCAAACCCTGAAGGTAGAGGTTGCAGTGACCCAGAATCATGCCACTGCACTCCAGCCTAGGTGACAAAGCAAGTCTCTGTCTTTAAAAAAAAAAACTAAGCCTATAGGAATGTTGGGCTAATACAGTGAAAAGCAGGAGTTTTAGACCCTTATTAAAGATGTTCCTCAGGCCAGCCTTGGTGGCTCATGCCTGTAATCCCAAGCACTTTGGGAGGCCGAGTTGTGCGTATTGCTTGACTCCAGGAGTTCTAGACCAGCCTGGGCAACATGGTGAGTCCCCATCTCTACAGAAAATTATCGAGACGTGGTGGTGCACACCTGTCATCCCAGCTACTTGGGAGGCTGAGGTGGGAGGATCGCTTGAACCGTGGAGGTCGCGACTATAGTGAGCCCTGGTTGTGCCATAGCACTCCAGCCTGGGACCCAGTCTCTATAAATCATTAAAATTAAAGTAGGGCCGGGCTCTGTGGCTAACATTTATAATCCCAATACTTTGGGAGGTCATGGTGGGCAGATAGCTTGAGGAAGTTTCAGACCAGTCTGGGAAACATAGTAAGACCCATCTGTACAAAAAAAATAACAAAATTTAGCTGTAGTGGCACGCATTTGTAGTCCCAGCTACTTGGAAGGCAGAGGCATGAGAATTGCTTAAACCCAGGAGGTCAAGTTTATAGTGAGCTCTGAGAGTGCTACTGTACTCCAGCCTGGGCAACAGAGCAAGACCTTGTCTCTAAGAAAAAATAATTAATTAACTTAAATATTAAGAATAATAGTGATAAAGTCCCTTTCTGTAGCTGTATCAGAAAATGTGGTCCTCTTATTCATATCAAAAAAATATAGGTATACTGCTATTGCCCCATTGCAGGTCAGCCTTACCTGCTTCTGCCTGGCTTGGTGTTGGCACACCTTGGTTCAGGAAGTAAGCTGTGCCCTTATTTGTGGAGGACTGTTGAGGAAATCTAACCAGGAATCAAATCCAGACTCCGAGCTTGTTTCCCTAGAAGTTACTTACTTGGCCTTAGTTTTTCTGAAAGAGTGTCTGCAAGGTCCTACAACCCCAGCAAACCATCCATTCAACAACAGCAGCCAGAAGAATCTTTTGGAATGTCAGTCAGGTGATTGCCTTTTCAACCTGGTCAGCCTGGCTTTCCAAACTCCTGCCTACAGCCTCAGCCCTCCTGAGTGACTATAGACCATTCTCAGCTCTCCCCAACTGGGCTCCAGCCATACTGACTTTCTCAGCATGAGACAGCCGTCTCCTGCCCTGAAGCCTTCACCCTTGCTGTTCCCTCTGTACCCTTACCTGACTTACTCCTCCTTTAGGGCTCAGCTTAAATGTCACATCCTCCAACAGGCTCTCCTGGTCCCCCAGTCTCAGTTAATATCTTTGTTTTTTAGTAGAACATAAGCATCACAAAGGTAAAAACTGAGCCTAACTTGTTTATTGCTGTATCTCCAGTGTGTCGTATAAATAACAAAAATTCAGCAAATATTGGAAGAGCACATGAGTGAGTAAATGAGTAAGCTGGTCTGGAAGTAAACTCGCCTCTGCCTCCCACCCTCACTCAGGTCTTATTCTGCATCACTTGATCTAAGTTCATGTTTCCACCAATCTCACTAGCGTCCCACATCAGAAACCTAAAAATCTTTCTAGGCTTCTCTCTCGCCCTCATCTCTTTCATAGACTCTTCCAGTTGCTTCTCAACGATCTTCCTGTCTTTGGTCTCAAGCTTATTAATTAATCGAAGTATTATGAAACATAAGCCTGACACATTGCTGCACTATCCAGGCCTCCATGGCCTTTTAATATTGAGAGCAGAAGATAAACAATTTTATTTATGCTTGCCGTATCAGAAAAATTGTGCAGAGAACACCCCCAGCGTATGTGTTTATTTATAGGTTGTGTGTGTGCTACTGTTGTAACGTACATTGCAAAACATACACAGATACAGAAAATATAAAAAAGGGTGCAATGAAATATACTTTAAAATACACTACTTAAGTCTGTTAAAAAAACTTTTTTTTCCAGAAATCTAAATTCTTATAAAAGGGAAAAAAAATCTTTTTTTCTTTTTTTTTTGAGACAGTAGCGTGTTTATAGCTCACTGCAGCCTTTCACCTCCCAGCCTCAAGAATTCCTCCCACCTCAGCCTCCCAAGTAGCTGAGACTGCAGGCGCACACCACCACACCCACCTGTATTTTTGTATTTTTTGTAGAGGTGGGGTCTCACTATGTTGCCCAGGCTGTTCTCAAACTCCTGGGCTCGAGTGATCTGCCCATATTGGCCTCCCAGAGTGCTGAGACTATAGGCATGTGCCGCCATACCCCACCCAAAATAATTTTATTTAATGAGGTGAAAACCTTTTATGCTTATTAAAATATGAATCTATTGAACTCTGTTTCATTATTCCAGTGTTTGGTTTTAGCATCTGGTTCTGAGGTTCAGATACTTGGTTTTAATGACTGTCATTGCTGAAAACGCTTTTCACAAAGATGTGGATCCCAGTAGGAGAAGCACTTCATGGTACTTAATGTAGTCAATTCCATGAAGATGTCAACTACTCAAGATTCCTCGTCTGACTCACCCCTTTCTTCTCTGCATGCACATGTGTTCTCCCCCACTGTGTGTGTGTGTGCGTGTGTGTGTCTGTGTGTACTGAACTCCATTGTGCTGTACTTGATTTGCTCCAATATGTAACTCCCTCAGTAGAATGAGCTCCCTGAGGGCAAGGACCAAGCCTTATTTGACTGATAAGTGCATTCTTGACCTAGAAAAAATAGAGGTTCTTGGATTCCCTTAGTGAAAGGAAAGAAAGTCCACTGAATCTGCCTTGAGCTTTTATTTTGCTGAACTTTATTGATTGACAGGGGTTCCAGTGTAAACTCCTGAGATTTAAGGGGTTCCATCTTAAAATCGGTCTTTCTGGACCTTTTGTATGTCATTTGGGCCTAGGGTTGGGGAGGACCATTATCTTTGACAACTGGAAGACACAGATGGCCTGGAAGCCCACAGTCCTATGGTCCCTGACTAAGCATTTGTGAACAGTCAGGTGCCGCCTTTTACCTGAAGAGTGCTGGGGATGAAGAGTCTCACCATTTTTTGAGGTGACTGAACAGAGAGCTGAAATTTCTGAAGCTACTTCTGGGTTGTTCACAGCCTTCTTATGCCCTGTGGCATGTCAGTGACTTCTCTCCCCTAGAGAGTGAGTTAACAGGTTTCACTGGAGGAACCATTCAGAAGTAAGGGAGCAGTTTGTACTGTGTTCTGCTTCTGAGACAAGGCTGGATGGAAGTCAGCAACTGAAATCTAGCATGCATTGGGAAAGACACCTTCCTGTTTGTAAGGAAGGCAAGGAAACGAAAGCAGAACCTGGTGACTTGGGGCTATGGGCTCAGACCTTCTTTCGGATTATTTGCCAACAGACCCAAAGGTTTCAAGATTTATTGTCACTTGCTGGGCTTGGAGGAGGTGATGGCTGGATACATTTGTCTACTGGTTTTTAAGAAAGCTACGTGAAGAAATTTCAACTCCCTGATAGGGTCGTCTAGAATTGAATTTAATCTTCTACTCTATTCATTAATCATTATTTAGGCAGCAGAAAATGGATAAAGGAAGAACGAAGTGTTTTATTTTTATTTTTATTTTATTTTATTTTTTAGAAATTCGATGTTTATTTTCCATGAATCTTATATGTTGTGTAAGAGGCTACACAAGAACAGCTTAAGACCATTCAGTGGCCTGAGCAGTGGGAGCTGCAGACTAGCCCTCTGTGGCAGGCTGGGCACTCCAGTCTTCAGTAGGGAACTGCTGGATAGGCACAGAGGGCACCTGTATGCCTTCAGACCAGTCAGCAACCTCAGGCTGAGTAGCAGTGAACTCAGGAGCCAGAGCAGTCCATTCGCCCTGAAATTCCTCCTTGGTCACAGCCTTTTCAGCAGCAGTCTGCTCTTCTTTTTCAATCTCTTCAGGATCTCTGTAGAAGTAGAGATCAGGCATGACCTCCCACGGGTGTTCACGGAAATGGTGCCACGCATGCGCGAAACTGCCTGAGCCAGCATCCACAACATCAAACCCACTGAGTGAGCTCCCTTGTTGTTGCATGGGATGGCAATGTCCACATAGCGCAGAGGAGAATCTCTGTTACACAGAGCAATGGTAGGTAGGTTAACATAAGACGCCTCTGAGAGAGGCTGGTGGTCAGCCCTTGGGTCGGTAATCACAAGCAGCCATGGCTCCCGGAAGGCTGCCTGGATCTGGTTGATGAAGGTTCCAGGAGTAAAGCGGCTAGTAATTGGAGTGGCTCCAGTGGCAGCAGCAAACTTCAGCACGGCCCTCTGACCAGTATTCCTAGAGGATATAACAATGACATCAGCAGGGTTTTCAATGGCAACAATGGCACGAGCTGCCAGGAGAAGCTTCTCCCAGGTCCTATTCAGATTTATGATGTAGACGCCATCACTTTTCCTTTTATAGATATACTGTTCCATCTGGAAGTCAAGGTTGGTGCCACCTAAATGGGTTCCTGCTGCCAGGAACTTAAGGACATCCTCCTCCTTCATTTGCAGGACATCAAGGGCTCCCGACATTGTGAAAGTTTCCCTTTAAGTTATGACAGGAATCCAGAACAACGCTGTTTGGAGCCCTCGGCAGGTAGTGCAGAAAGCTCTTTTTTTTTTTTTTTTTTTTTTTTTTTATTTATTTTAAATGGAGTCTCACTCTATTGCCAGGCTGGAGTACAGTGATGTGATCTTGGCTCACTGCAATCTCCACCTCCTGGGTTCAAGTGATTCTCCTGCTTCAGCCTCCAGAGTAGCTGAGATTACAGGTGGGCGCCATCACACCCAGCTAATTTTTTTGCATTTTTAGTAGAGACACGATATCACCATGTTGGCCAGGATGGTCTTGATCTGACCTCGTGATCCACCCATTTTGGCCTCCCAAAGTGCTGGAATTACAGGCGTGAGCCACCATGCCTGGCCTAAAGTGTTTTCTTTATATTGCACAGTTAAGAAGACCTCATGAATAATCAAAACCCCTTGATGTATTTTGAGGATGAAAGGGCATTGTAAACTTAACCAGCAACCTTGGTGATGACATGAAGAACGTGGCTTGGTGGCTGCTTGTTAACAGACTACCCGGCACATGTGTTCCTTTTCTACTGAGAAGGCAAGAGCTGCCTGCCTTGTATTTGGGATGGTGGTGAACTCCGCAGTTTCCCCTTGATGAGAAAGGCACAAGGTGATAGAAAGTGTGGTCCCACTTGATAGCCACGGTACGCTATTCTTCATGTTTTGAGGTTACTTGCCAAAGTGTACTTTGCCTTCCAAAATGGTCCTTTGGGGCTTTCTTGTAAACCACAGATTGAAGAATGTGGTTATCATGTTAAAGAAACATGCAAGAGGCTGGGCTCAGTGGCTCACGCCTGTAATCCCAGCACTTTGGTTTTTTTTTTGTTTGAGACTAAATCTTGCTGTGTCACCCAGGCTGGAGTGCAGTGGCACAATCTCGGCTCACTGCAACCTCCGCCTCTTGGATTCAAGCAATTCTCCTGTCTCAGATTCCCAAGTAGTGGGGATTACAGGCATGCACCACCATACCTGGCTGATTTTTGTATTTTTAGTAGAGAAGAGGTTTCACCATGTTGCCCAGGCTGGTCTCCAACTCACCCTCAGGTGATCTACCCACCTCGGCCTCCCAAAGTGCTGGGACTACAGACACCGGTAGTCCCAGCTACTCAGGAGGCCGAGGTGGGAGATCACCTGAGCCCAGGAAGCAGAGGTTGTAGTGAGCCAAGATCTCGCTACAGCCTGGGTGACAGAGTAAGACCTGTCTCAAAAACAAAAAAGAAAAGAAAAGAAAAACATTCTAAAAACATTCAAGAGCATTTCCTCTTAATATATGTAAGCATGTGTTGAGTTTAGGAGCAAAGCCTAGCTGTGCCTGAGGGTAGAGAATTACAATTTAGTGAAATGTACACTGTTTAGAAAAGAGGGTACATTTTAAAGACACTACACAGAGAGAGCTCTGAATCTTCAACTCCCCCAGCCTGCTGTTGGCTTGCCTTATTTTAATTATGGGTTTCATATCTAGCTACATAAATATTTTCAAAAGACATTTCAGGTAGGTTCTCTGAGGCCCTCAGGCCCTTCAGTAAGAAGTGCCCTGGCTGAAAACCCACACATTCACCTACAGAAGAAGCACTGTGATAGAGAGAGTGAGCAGAGGACCTTACAGTGGCTCTCACACACACGTGGCTCCAGCTTGGCCAGCTCCTTTTGCCCCTGTGGGCCTGTGCCTCACCTCAGAAGTGGGGTTTCTTTCCTTATGAAGAAGACTCATGAATTAATAACAGAATTGTCAGGAATGCTAAAACTATCTAAATGCCATGTACTGTTTTCAAGCTGTTAACTCCTGGAGGGGCTGGGTTGGCATTGTTTTCAAGGTTAGGATCCAAACACCAGCTCATCTATTCTCCAGCTGTTGTTTATCCTCCAGCTTCCTACAATAGTCAGGCACAAGGTCTTATAAAAATGAGTTTGTGCTGCTATATGTTTTGATGGGTAATAGGCACATTAGTAATGTCACCTTTGTTTACTGAATGGGATGTAGGTGGGGGACCAGAGCACATCCGCATCCCTAAGAAACAGTGACATTTAAATGAAGTATGTTCCATCAGCTTCTCTCTGCCTCACTCATCCCAGCCCATTGATTGAGGCTTTTTTTTTTTTTTTTTTTAATGATTATTTTATTTTTGAGACAGAGTCTAGCTCTGTCACTCAGGCTGAAATGCAATGGTACGATCTCTACCCACTGCAACCTCCACCTCCCAAGTTCAAACGATTCTCCTGCCTCAGCCTCCCAAGTAGCTGGGATTATGGCACCAGCCACTACGCCCAGCTAATTTTTGTATTTTTAATAGAGATGGGGTTTTGCCATGTTGGCCAGGCTGGTCTCAAACTTCTGACTTCAAGTGATTTGCTTGCCTTCGCCTCCCAAAGTGTGGGATTATAGGCATGAGCCACCATGCCCAGCCTGATTGAGCCTTTATACAACATCCTACCAGAAGGGTCAGGTTCGCAGCTCCCTCAGCAGTCTATTCCATTTTTCATCCTTTTTAATTTTTTTATTAGATAGTACACCATATAGTACAAAATTCAGAACATGCAAAAGGGCCAGGTGCAGCGGCTCATCTCCACACCCACCAGTCTTACTTCCTTTCTTTCTCTCAAGTCAGTCACCTTTTCTTCCTGTCCTTGCCCACCATTACCCTGGTCTGGGCCTCTTGGCCTCTCTCCTGAGTGGCTTTACTAGCTCCTGCTTTTTGCACATTCACTCTTGCCTCCCTCTGATGTTTTCCACCCTGAATTTTTTTTAAGACATATCATACTACTTCCGTACTTGGCACCTTTTGGTGGCTTTCAAATACTCATAGAATAAAGAGCAAACTATTCATCACGCTCCTCAAGTCTTTGCCTGGTCTGGTGCTTGCAAGCCTCCAGGGCCGTTCTCACTGTCTGCAGTTCAGCCACAGGAACTAAACGTGCCCGACTTTGTTTGCCAGAGTCTTCTCTTGTTGTCCTTTGTCTGGAGTGCTGATCTCTTTTCACTGCCCCATCTAGTTATTGTTGACTTGTCTTTTGGATCCAGGCTTCACTTCCTCAAGCCTTCACTGTCTCCCCAGTCTAGGTCAAGTCCCCCCCTACCCCACTTAAAACCGACAACACTATGTTTTCCTTCACTATAACTTGTTAGGGTTATAATTTCCTCTTATGTCTGCGATCATTGGATTAATAATTTTTTTATTCTTATTGATGTGAGATCCTTTCTGGTACATATGAAACCATTTTATAAACTATGAAGGATCCTAGAATAAAGATGGTGATTATTTAACATGCATGTTTATATATGAAGTGAAACTTTTAAGGGTGACATCCATGCTGATGAGTGATGGTCAGCAGAGGAAAGTCTTTCTTAGGAGCCCCTGGTGAACGGAACTAGGTCATTCTTCAGTCCAACAGAAGCGTGTTTTGGACACCAGAGTATGGGCACAAGGATTTTGCAGAAATTAACAAGATCCAGCCAGGCCCTGCCAAGCAGCTTGTGCTGCTGTATTTTAAAAACCCAAGATTACCCAAGATCTGTCTCCTTTGGTTTTTTTCAGGTGGCCCAGAGCATTTTAGAAAGCCTTATGCAAATTAAGTGATGGGAGCAACACTTTTTTTTTTATCTAGGGAGATAAATTTTTCCTTCTGCTTCCTTCTAATGATTCTTACCTCCCTCCTCCTCTCCCCACTCTTTAATTTTTTTTTAAGGGACAGGATCTTACTGTTTCCCAGGCTGATCTCAAACTCCTGGCCTCCCTCAGCCTCCCAAAGTGCTGGTATTACAGGCGAACCACCCAACTTACCTCTTCTATTAAAAGATGTCTTCAGAAATATCCCCCCTGAAAAGGAGAGGCATCCTCTGAGAATTCAAGCCAAGTAAAGCTCATTTCACATCCCTTTTGTTGAACAGGAACTTCTGTGGTGTACACTCACCAGGAGTTGTTTTTGTGTCTGTCCTTTATCCCCAGGAAACCTGTAGGAAGTGTCAGGGACTCTGGAAAGAACATAATGGCCTCACCTGTGAAGAGCTGGCTGAAAAAGATGACATCAAGTACCGTACCTCTATGTGAGTAACAGAATTCAGAGGGGCCATGGGCTGATTCTCAACTTCCCCATTAACCTGCCTTTTGGCAGAGAGGACATAGTGTTGTAGGAAGAACACGCTCGAGCCACCCAAATCTAGAGTGATCTTGGGGAAGTGACCTAACCCCTAAGCCTCTGTTTCCTTATCTCTGCAGCCTCATGGCGTTATTTTGGAAGACAAATTAACATATAAATGCTTGGCACATGTGAATTCAATAAATGATAGTCCCCTTTTTTCCTACTGTCTAAATAAGCAAGTGACATGTTTTCGTTGCTTAGACTGCACTAGTGTTGCTTATGTCTGTGTTAATGGATACTGTTGGCTTAAGGCAAGTAGAGTTGCCCATCTCCAGAATACAAAATGATACATTTGTAATAATAATAACTGTTACTTTATAGTACTCTCTATGTGGCTTAGCACATTACACATACACACTTATTAAAATGCAGACCAGGTGCAGTGGCTCACACCTGTAATCCCAGCACTTTGGGAGGCCGAGACAGGGCAGATCATGAGGTTAAGAGATCGAGACCATCCTGGCCAACATGTTGAAACCCTGTCTCTACTTAAAAAAAAAATACAAAAAAATTAGCTGGGTCTGGTGGCGTGTGCCCGTAGTCCCAGCTACCCAGGAGGCTGAGGCAGGAGAATTGCTTGAACCCCGGAGGTGGAGGTTGTAGTGAGCCCAGATCGCACCACTGCACTCCAGCATGGACAAGAAGAGTGAAATTCCATCTCAAAAAAAAAAAGGAAACATGCAATGATTGAAGTAATACTGAAATCTCTTTCTCTCTCTCTCATGACAGTCTAGCCTTGCTACGCAGCTGAGAGTGCATATCTGTCTCCTTAGGTTATTCAGAGATTGTCTCACAGCCTGGTGTGGTAGCTCATGCCTGTAATCCTGGCATTTTGGGAGGCCAAGGCAGGCAGATCACTTGAGCTCACGAGTTTGAGACCAGCCTGGACAACGTGGCAAAACCTCATCTCTACAAAAAAAAAAAATGTTATCCAGGAGTGGTGGGCACACACTTGTAGTTCCAGCTACTTGGAGGGCCAAGGTGGGAGAATCACTCGAACCTGGGAGGTCAAGGCTGCAGTGAGCTGAGATTGTGCCACTGCACTCTAGCCTGGGAGACAAAGTGAGACTGTCTCAAAAAAAGAAAAAAAAAGAGAGATCATCTAACTGCTTCACCCTTCCCTGAAGGTGGTGTTCTCATCTGCATGATTATAACTAGACTGTGGCCACATTTACACTCAAATCCAAAGGAAGTGGGAAATAGACAAGTTGCTAGGGAAGCGGCTTTTCTTGATGTTGTAAGTGATGCAGGAATTATATATATCTCACTTTTGCTTATACCCCATTGGTCTAAACTGTCATATAGGCAAGGCAAGCACCATATGTAGCCTGTAGTTGGGTAACTATGTCCAATTTAAATATGAAGGATATGGGAGGGGTTTGGTCCTCAGAAAATGAAGTGAGCAATGGCAATTTGAGGTAATAAGCAGTCTCCCAAGTATGCAGTACAGGTGGGTATGGGTGTCCTCTTCATCTTACAGATGAGGCCCCTGTAACTTGCCCTTGGTTGTAGGACCTCGAGACAGAGAGGTTATCTGGATTATCTGAGTAGACCCAATCTAATTATGAATCCTTAAAATCGGAGAGCCTTTAGTATAGAGCAAAGAGTCAGACAAGCGTGAGAAGGATTGACCTTCTGTTGCTGGCTTTGGAGGTGGATAAAGTGGGCCATGAGCCAAGGATTGAGGCAGCCTATAGAAATTAGGAACAACTCTCAGCTGACAGCCACCAAGAAAATAGAAACCCTGGTCCTACAACCTCAACTGATTTCTGCAAACAACTCAAATGAGCAGCAAACATACTCTCTCCTCAGGCCTCCAGGAAGGAATGCAGCCCTGTAGTCAGGCATCTGGACTACTCCAGGACTCAGTAGCAGGCTGTGAGATGTTTATTGGAAGGAGAATCACTTACAAAGCATAGCCTTCATTCTGATTCTCCTGTTGGTTCCTGCTACCAGTTCCACTCAGCATCTTGGTTTTCCACACGTGGCCCACCACTGGGTCCTGTTTAAACCTGGCAGCCTTTTAGATCAGCAGTAAGTGGATAAGAGCAAAGCATTCAGATGTGATAGATGTTGATTCCAAAAATGATACTCTGTATTGTCCTGCCTTACTAGGTTAGGAAAGTTTTCTTGAATAATATCCTGAAGAATATTTTCCAGCTTGGATTCATTCTCTTCATAACATTCAGGTACACCTATCAAACGTAAATTAGGTCTTTTCACATAGTCCCATATTTCTTGGAGACTTTGCTCATTCTTTTTTACTTTTTCTTCTCTAATCTTGTCTTCTTGTTTCATTTCATTAAGTTGGTCTTCGACCTCTTGATATCCTTCTGCTTGATCAATTCAAGTGTTTAAACCTGTGCCTACTTCGCAGCGTTCTCGTATTCTTCAGTTCCATTAATTCACTTATATTCCTCTCTAAATTGTCTATTCTCGTTAGGATTTTGTCAAACCTTTTTTCAAGGTTCTTAGTTTCTTTACATTAGGCTAGAACATGTTCTTTTAACTCACAGAAGTTTCTTATTATCTACCTTCTGAAGCCTACTTCTGTTAATGGAATGCACTCATTCTCCATCAGGCCTTGTTCCCTTGTTGATGAGGAACTGTGATTCTCTGTAGAGGGAGAGGCATTCTGATTTTGAGTATTCTCAGCCTTTTTACGCTGGTTTATTCCCATCATTGTAAATTTATCCACCTGTCGTCTTTGTAATTACCAACTTTCAAATTAGGTCTCTGAGTAGACATCCAACTTGTTAATTCCCAGCACCTAAATCTGAGCAACCCACTGCAAAAACAGCAGCATCAAGATTCTTGGTGCTTTTCTGCCCGGGAGTCTCTGGTCTGGCTTCCCTCCTGAATCCCTTCTTCAATCAGCTGAATGGGTGACTCTGCCTTCGCAGAGCTCCAAACGTCGACCGAAAGGGGACCCAGTCCCATTTACTCTGCACCGAGAACCGCCACGCTGGTCACAAGAGTCGCGCTGGCGACCTGTGTGGCTCCTTCGCTGGGAATCTCCTGGTCCATGAGCAACAAAATTCGTCTGAAAGTGTGGTGTCCCCTCGTTCTCTGCACTTTCACTGGGAGTTACAAGCCTGAGCTGCTAGTGATCGGCCATCTTGGATCTCTCTCCAACCGCCAGAATTCTATAGAGATTACACATTCCTACATTCAAGGGATTTCTCTCTCACTTTCTGGCATTTATGTAGCATATTAATACATCCTACTATCCCTGCTACTTTCTGTTCACCAGGTTCTATCTGCATGTCCTTCAAATAGTAGAACAGTATGTTATCCTATTGGTTGACAGATAATCAAGGTCCTCACTAGCTGCTGGTGTTCTCTGATTATTGAATGGAGAGTAAAAGCATTTTCCAAATCAATCACAACATACCAGTTTCCAGGGACTGTTTGTTTGTTCTGGTGAGAAATGACATCTGGAACCGCTGCTGCATTTAGTCAGCACCTTTTGAGGCTTAGAGTAGTACACTGTCCTCCAAGAGCCGTTATTCTGTACGAGCCAAATGAGAAGTAAAAAGAGATGTGAGAGAATCATCACCTCTGCATCTTAGAAGTCTTTGATGGTGGTGCCAATCTCAAAGATGCCCTCTGGAATTTTTAGAGACAGGGTGCTCCAGGGGCTTCTGCTTGCCTTTTCTTATCATATAGCCCCACTGAGACCAAAGAGCCATAGAATTCTGCCAATTTCAAAACTTTTTTTCCCCACCTTGTAACAGGGTCTTACGCTGTCATCCAGGCTGGTATTTTTAGAGACAGGGTGCTCCAGGGGCTTCTGCTTGCCTTTTCTTATCATATAGCCCCACTGAGACCAAAGAGCCATAGAATTCTGCCAATTTCAAAACTTTTTTTCCCCACCTTGTAACAGGGTCTTACGCTGTCATCCAGGCTGGTGTGCAGTGACAGAGTCACAGCTCACCTCAGCCTTGACCTTGCAAGCTGGAGTGATCCTCCCTCCCAATCAATCTCTCTCTCTCTCTTTTAGAGTCTACCTCTGTCACCCAGGCTGGAGTGCCTCGGGTCACTGCAACCTCTACCTCCCATGTGCAAGCAATTCTCCTGCCTCAGCCTCCCATGTAACTGGGATTACAGGCACCCACCACCATGTCCGGCTAATTTTTGGACTTTTAGTAGAGGCAGGGTATCACCATGTTGACCATGATGGACCAGCCAGTCCGGACTCAAACTCCTGACCTCAGATTATCCACCCACCTTGGCCTCCCAAAGCGCTGGGATTACAGGCGTGAGCTACCACACCCGGCGTCCATTTCTTTCTTGTTTTTAAACTGCTGTAGTATTTTCAAGCAAATCCAAATCCCTGACAGCATGTTATTTTACCCATAAAAACGTTTTTTTCCTATATGGCACTTAACTTTATCACCACTAACAAAACTAACATTGAAATGTTAAGTGTCTGATATCTTGTATTAACTGAACAGTTCCCTTAATTGTCTCAAATTAGTTTTATGTGTATACTGCAGTTCGTTTGTTAAGGTCAAGATCCAAACAAGATTCATAACTTTGATAATTATTTCTCTTAAGTGAGGATACTCTCTCTCTGCCAACACACTTTGTGTTATGCCATTCACTCACTGAAAAAAAAAGGATAACTGGCCTGTAGAATGTGTTCTAGATTTGGCTGGTTTCTCGTGGTATCATTTAGCTTGTTCTTCTGTCCCCTACATCTTCTATAAATTAAAATTTAGATCTATTAAACCTAAGCAGGAAAAAAAAGAAAAAAAATTTAGATCTAAAGGCTTGATTAGGTTCACACTCAAATGTTTTTGATGAGAACATTTTACAGGTGGCTCTGTGCATCTCACAATAGAAAACATCCAGAGCTGTACAGTGTCTGGGTGGCCCACCACGAAATACTTCTAAGCAAAT